TTTGACGTTCGGGTGCAGAAAAAAAAAAACCAATAAATCGAAATTTTTATTTCTTAATATTATTATTATTATTTTGTTTAATTCGCGTCGTTGTGGTTGTTGTTTGCGGTTGTCGTAGTTTGTCGTAAAATTTTTGTTCTGACAAAATGGCGACACGCCTAACGATTAAACTTCTCGCGTAACATTTTTTTATGGTTAAAAAAAAAAAATAAAAAATAAAAAATAAAATAAAATGATTGTCGCGGTGGATTATTGGAAATTTGCTCAGGGGTAAAAAATTTAGTATTTAATACTTCAAACTCATTGGTTTATTTATTTATTTATGTATTTTTTAATAATCGTTGATGACGTATCGACCCCCCCACTTTTCCTCCCCTCCTCTTCCCTCATCTTCCCCCGCCCACTTACCCTCGATGTAATATTTCTGATATTAAGAGAAAAACTTTTTGAGGCGTGCGAATTACTTTTCATGGGAAATCTTTAAAACGAAAAAAAAAATTTTTATCATCATTATTATTATTATCATCATCGTTGTTATTGTTATCATTATTATTATTATTATTATTTTTCTTACCTGTGCAAAGCCATTGTAAATTAAGATATATACCACGAAGGGGGTCATTTTACGAGGAAAAAAAAAAAGAAGAAAAACGATGACGTATGTGTGCGTATGGAATTCTTGTGGAAAAAAAATTCTATTCGTCTTTGAACTTTATTATTATTATTATTACTATTATTATTATTTATTTTGGAAAATGCCGAAAATTAAATGGAAATTAATTCGCGTTAATTAAAAAAAATTTTTTTTTTATTAAATTTGGATAATAAAAAAAAAAATTCGTTTGAATTTTCCGAAGGTCGTTTGGCACCCAAAGGTTTTTTTTTTTTTTTTTTTGCGAAAAATTTAAAAGAAAAAAAAATTGCGCGTGTGCGTGTGCGTGCGTCTAAGCGTCCCAACGCAATTAAAAATAATGAATGATGATGATGATGATGATGATAATTTTCTTAGAATAGGCGAATTGTTGTTAACGTAAATGACGTCATGCAAACCTTTTCATAAAAAATAAGAAGAAAAAAAAATTTTTTTTTTTTTTTCGAATAATTGTCAATAATAAATTATTATTACCTTTTGTAATTAAATTATTTACCCAAGTCGACCCCCACCGCCTTCTTAAAATTACTATTATTATTATTATTGTTATTGATTATTTATTTAAATATTGATTGATTTTTTTTTTCGTACTCCGCCATTTTGATCGTGAAAAAAAAGAAGGAAAATTATTTTAAATAAATTACGCGATAATTTTTTTTTTCTTTTTTCTTTTTCTTAGTAAATAATAATAATAATGATAAAGAGTTTCGTGAAAGGTTCGTGTTAGGAAAACTTTTACGAATGATGATGATGATGATAATAACAATAATAATAATAATCGATCGATTCCGACCTATTTTCGGAAATTTCAAAGAAAAAAAAGTTAGTTTTCGCCATTTTATTTCTGTTTTTATTTTTATTTTGTTTTATTATTTATTTTTATTTTTTTCTCACGGGTAATATTAATAAGTGATAACTCTTATCAATTTATTTACTTATTAAAAAAAATTATTTTTTTAATTAAATCGTTTTAAGGGGTTTAAAAAAAAAAGTAAGAAAAGAAAAGTAATTAATTAAGGTTACGAGGTTTTTAGGTTTTTGGTTTTTTTTTCTTTTTCTTTTCCTTTTTCTTTTTCTTTTTATGGAATGAATTGTTGTTAATTATTATTATTATTATTGTTGTTATTAAATCTGTTGTTGTTGTTGTGGTGGTGGTTGTTGTTGTTGTTGTTGTTGTTGTGGTGGTGGTTGTTGTTGTTGTTGTTGTTGTTAACAATAAAATTAATTAAACTAATTTTTATTTAAACCAAAGAAAAAAAATTTTTTTAAATTTATTTTTTGTGGTTAATAATTAAAAATTTTAATCGCGATTAATAATAATAATAATGGTAATAATAAACGTCGATGATGATGATGATGATAATAATTGTTTAAATTCTTTTTTATAAATAATTATTTATTATGAAGCGGAAAGTAAAATTTAAAAAAATAAACATTTGTAACAATAATTTATTTATTTATATTATTAAGGTCGCTGGAAAATTTATTTATTTATTTATGTATTTATTTATTAAAACTATTTACCCGTTTTTTTTCCTGATTATATTAACAATAAATAAGTAAATAAATAAATATTTTGTCGAACGGTCGTATTTATTTATTTATTTATTTACTATTGTTATTGTTATCATCATCATTATTATTATTATTAATATTACTATCATTATCCTGTTTATTATTATTATTATTATTAATATTACGATCTTGGTAATTGTCAATAAAAAAAAAAATTATTTGTTAAAGCTATGTATTAATAAAAAAAAAAAAAAAAAAAATTGAAAATTTGATTTGACGAAAACGACTTTATTGTTGTGGTTGTGGTTGTTGTTGTCGTAGTTTTTTATTATCGATTTTTATATTGAGAAATAAATATGGTAATAATAATAATAATAATAATTATGCAAAGGTGAAAAGTTTAAATTTTTTTATATTTTTTTTTAATTAATGAAATATTTATTTATTTATTTATGTATTTACGTGTGTTTATTAAAATTTTTCTTTTTTTCCCTCCTCGGTTCGCTTCGTTTGCGTTTTTTTAATTTTTTTTTTTAAACATTTTTAACGTGAATAATTATAAAAAATAAAAATTTATCATCATCATCATCGTCGTCGTCGTCTTCGACGTCGTCGACGTCATTGCCATCATTATTATTATTATTATTCGTAAAAGAAGAAAAAAAAGGAAAAATTTATGCTCGAGCGTAAAAAAAAAACTCGATGTATATGAATTATTATTATTATTACTATTTTTGTCGTGGCGACATTTAAAAACGACGAGATTATTGATAATTTTTTTTTTTCGAGTCATGACAAACAGGAACAAACGACAAACGACGACAACGGCGACAAACATTTAAA